TACGATTTGTTACCTTTACTGGTGAATATTCACCATTATCATTTAATTCATGAATTTCAATCCATAACTCAATTTTGCGTGATAATTCAGCCCATCGATCGACAAGTGAACGTGCTTTTGCTTGCTGTTGCTCTACTTCCCAGCCTTTGGATTTCGAGAAACCAGCACTGCGATGACCCCATACTTCTATCGATAAAGCACCCTCAATGCAATGTTCTAAAAATTCTTCATTTATGGTCACTGTAAAATCTTTGACGTGTTCAAACTTAAAAATCATATTTTGATCATGTGCTGGTACTTCAGCATTTATAACTGGCACAACTGTTTCTTGATGGACCCCAAAAGGTATATTGACAGAATACAAAATTTGATGAGGAAAGTGGCAAGCCTGACGCACACTTTATTGAGACGCGACAAGTAATTTGATTAGCCATTGGATCAACAACATCATCATAATCATCACGTGAATCAGAAGACGATTCCGAAATTGATTCACATATACGATCCTGTGGCATTTTACCAGCAATGCGTTGTATTTCAACTTGAAGTCGACCAGCAACTTCGCCTTGTTGACTTATAATAGGAGTATGATAATCGAGTTTAACGTCATGAAATAGTACTTCCAAAAATATGTTAGCAACCCCAATAAGATTATGATTTTCTTGAGACTCGTAGAAAGGATCAAGGGATTTTGAATTTTCACTATCCTGTAAATAAAATTAATTTAATTATTAACGGAGTACAAATTAAATTGCCATTAAAATGTATTACTTGTATATATATAAATGATACATATGAATAATTGAATATAATTACCTCGTCACAATCTTCATTATCGGAGAAAGTCTCAATTAGAGGCTTTGGTATATCGTAAGCAATGCAAAAATGAGGTTAAAAATTATGTTAGTAAGACGTGTAAACAATAATATGCGTAAAAGTGAAGTTAAGTGAGTTTTTACAACAATAAATGTACTTTTCAACGTATCAACAATTAAATATATTTACCAAACCATTTAGTATTCTTTCTTTATGATCTTGATACATTTCTCGCATATCAATTAGTTTGTTTTCCAATTTTTCCATGGTCCAAATTTGACTACCAGAGTTAATACGTTTAACCAAAATCGCTGGCTCACTCACAAATGCACCACGCTGTTACAGATTTAAGAGTTATTCATTTTATTAATTAAAGTATATGTTATTTTTAATTATATTACCCTTCGATTTGGACTTAAATTAGCAGGAGGAATTTGCAAAGTTACTGAAAACTTTGTTTTCTTTTCCATTTCTTCAGCTAAAAAGTTCGCTTCTTGCACCGAAGCATTTGCACGCATTATATCATTTTTGAGTTGACCCAAAGAACGTTTGAACATTTCATCACGTTCCTGAAAACGAATGAAATTTGTTTATTCGAATTCAAATTTATAAAACAATATTGAATAAATATTACCTGTGCCCACTTTTCAAAACGCATTTGAGAAGTTGGAGTGTTTGGTGTAATTTTACCTAAACGCAGCGGATCACAAGGAGTATATGGTGCATACGGTGTGGTTGGTGAGAGTATGTTGCGTAGTTGTTGAAATTGTCTCTCATATTCCTAAACAAAATTAAACACGTTCTTAATATATTATATTATATTATTATATTATATTAATATATATTAATATATTCTTAATATATTGCTTTACGTACTTGTCTTTGCTTTTCTAAAGCAACTTGTTTGTCTTCTTCATGTTGTCTTTCTAAGCGTGCTATAGCTGTTTGTATGGGATCATTGCTAAGTTCATTTTGCATTATTTCATCTCTTGCAAAATTATAATCAATTAATTGTGCTGGTGTCTGCGGCACAGAGGTCATATTAGCATTTACGCATTTTGGACAATTCACACGGAAAAAATGATGATTACCCCATAATATACGGTCACCGTTGTGTAAAGGTGTTTTTTCCAACACTGCAAAACCATTTACAACACAACGTGCGCCCTGAATAGGATCCATCAACAAACCACCATCTTCGATTGTTATCACACAGTGCTCTGGCTGTATACCTAATCCAGATAATTGTATATCAGGTTGTGGGCCAGATATGTTATGGCCGCCAATTAAAGTACGTTCCTGTATTTAAATAAAATAAATAAATTATTTTTTGTTGCTTTTTTTTTTCAAATTTCATATATAAACCTACCTTAAGATAATAAACTAACAACTCATTGAGGGACGGATCAGCATTCAAATTTACTGAATAATATTTATTTTTCTCTACTTTAATACCACTCGCTTGTACACTAATTCCCATTTTCTCCAAAGCCTGTTGACGTTCGTTTTGTATACGTTCAGTTTTGACCAGTTTCTCTTCCCACGTTTGTGAAATTTGTTTCATGAGATTTTCACTTTCAGCGAGTTTGTCATGTATATCAACACGTTGCACATCACCAACTGGAGGACCTGTGGCATGTTTAAGCATATTACGCAGAGTTTCCACTTCAAGTCTGAGTTCTCGTATAATGCAGGCATTTGGATCCTCATTGACGACAGCGTGATTGACAATACGTTTAGCACGATCAGCATAACGCAATGTCGATAACGTTTCTTCATAATTATCTCCTGAGGGCGAAATTGTGGCAACCATAACTGTTTTTGAGTTTCCACCCAAATTATCTTTGAGAAGCCACGTTAGTACAGAGTCACGGTAAGGTACAAATTTATCATTGCTGCCTTTTTTACCACTCAGAAATAAATAAAACTTTAAGTACTTGTTAATATTAGAGCCTTCTTTTAAACGTTCTCCTACAGCGCCTGTTTTGACAGTACGTTCTGAACCAGCTAAATCTACCAAGGACATACGTGATACCTTTTCACCACTCACTCCAGCTGCTTGATCTGTAAGTATTTGTGTCAGCATCACAGAGAATACTACATGTGAGCGCGAAGATTCCGCATTCATATTTGTGGCAGCTACAGTACGTGATTTACTGCCTTCAGTCATCAAATTATCAATGTCCTTTAAAATATAACAAAATTATTAGATATTTTGTATATAAATATATAGTTAAATATACTAAATACAAATATAAACAAAAATATACATTTAAATATAAATATATATAAAACATAAATATAATATAATATACAGTGACTCCATCGCATAATCGGACAAGCATTTGTTCGATATAAATGTGCTCTAAACTTTAAAAACAATTCTAAAAATATGATTTTTTTTGCTTTAATCAATACTTAACATACTTATCTATCTAAATTATAAAAAAAAAACAAAACATTTCTCTGATAACTATTATTTTAAAGTAAAAAACAGAACCAACACAATTTTTTGGGCTCAATGTATAATCGGACAAAATTAAACATCCATGTTAAAAATGCAGAAATGTGGCATTTAATATTTTGTTGCATATCCTTTGTTATCCAGAATGGCCTGAATATGATTTGGAACTGATTTTACCAATTTTTGGCACACTTCTGGGTCAATAGAGTACCATGCTTAGAGTAAAGCCTCTTTTAGCTGTACTATTGTATTAAATTTTTTTTGATACACTCTCCTAGCTAATTCCTCCCAAAGATACTCACTTACATAAAGGTCTGGGCTCTGTACAGGTGTATCTATGAGTTTGGGGCAGTTATGGATCAACCAATGCTTTGCTACGCCTGACGTATGCGTGGGATCGTTGTCCTGATAAAAATTAAAATTTTCTGCGATACTCAACTTCTCTGTACTTTGCTTTGCATTCTGTTTCAGAATGTCGAGGTATCTAGATTTGTCCATTTTACTATCTATAAAATGCAAATTACCTACTCCCGCACTCGACATACAACCCCAAACCATAACAGATCCTCCTTCATGTTTTATAGTTATTTTTGTATTGTGATGATTAAATTCAGCATTTGGTTTACGCCATACAAACATCTTACCATCAGATCTATTCAGATGAAATTTACTTTCATCAGTGAACAAAACCTTAAAAAAATGAAAATTATCAATGAAAATGTATTTAAGATGATTTACCATCAATTTACTTGATTCCAAAAGCCTTCTGTTTTTAGTAAATATTCCTTAGCATATTTTATTCTTTTGTTTTTATTTTTAATATTTATAAACGGCTTCGTTTTGGCAATTCTTTCGTGATAATCGAATTTATGTAATGTATTGCGAATAGTATATAAGCATACATCTTTCCCAGAGCGGGATTTTAATGATAATTTAAGGTCTTTTGCGGTTTTGAAAGGATTTTTCTTTATTTCTTTCAATATCGAACGCTCTTCTCGATCATTTAATATAGTGCCTTAAGCTGCTCTGATCTTATTGGCCAGCCTAAACTCATCATGGGACCTCTTGATAATGTCTTGAATAGTAGATTGACTTATTCCAACTAAATTGACAATTTCTCTAACGGTTTTACTTTCGAAATTCAATTTAATTATTAATTGCCTAATTTCGACAGTAGATTGCTTTCCATTTGGTGCTATTTTAATACTAATTTATGTTACAATTATATAATTTCTAATTTATATTTTTCTTAATGTAAAAAACATTGTTCTGACAATTATTATTGTAGTTTTGAAGTGCATATTTGTAAAATAACAGTCTTTTTAGCGTGAATGCTTAATTTTGTCCGATTATACGTTGAGCCCAAAAAATTGTGTTGGTTCTGTTTTTTACTTTAAATTAATAGTTATTATGAGAAATGTTTTGTTTTTTTTATAATTTAGAAAGAAAAGTATGTTAACACATTATGAGCGGCTAGCTCAGGAAATCGAACAGTGCTGCGTAGCGGGCCAATTTTCCAGCTAAACAAAATATATACGTGTGAAAATAAACTCGATAGACATAAAAGTAATAATTAGATTTTTGCTACATTTGACAATGGGTCTTATCTGGAACTATATTTTATATACATTAATTTATTTTTATACTTGATAAGTATATTTCAGAAATTCGTGAGATTACGCAGGATGCACTTGTTTTATGAAAATACAATATTACTGTCAAATTTCTTATGAACAAAATTATACAAAAAAACAATACAATAAACATTTTAAAAATATGAAGCCATTAGAATTATAGGTCGTTTTTCCCAATTCAACGGGCGGAAAATAAAATAGTCCGATAATATATAGGTACATATGTAAAAAAAAGTATGCAACCAAATATACAGTTTATTTAAATCCTGAGATAGATTTATTTTATAGGATATATATATATATACAGGACAATATACTAATTTATAAAATTTGGTGTAGTCAAGGCTAATATTTTTCTTGAGTATGATATTTGAAGAAACAAACCCCCCGATGCAGCGAAACTTTGCAAAATTTACACATATAACACGTTAAACTTTTTTTTTTGTGCGGCACATGCGCGACACTGCCTTTGAGGTTTCAATTTTGTTCCACCAGTGGTAATTTTAACCAATTTATGCCTTTTGGGATCTTTTGATAACCTCCCTGGAGGATCACTTTTGCTGGACGTAGTTGATGTACGTGGTAAAGAATTATCTGTATTGCCAGGAAGAGCTTCACTAATCCATTCCTTTGCCACATCATGTAAAAACACCTTATACTTTTTTTTTGAATGTGGATTTAATATTTTAAAAACTCTAAACGCATTAAATAACGCACAATTGATAAAAAACATAACAGCTCGTTTCGTCCATTTTTTGGTACGACGTACAATCGAGTAATACGATAAGTATTGGTCAGCGCGATCAACACACTTCATGTATTTATTATAATCAATTACGCACATTGGCTTCAAAATTCTTTGTTTTGTTGCCCAGCCAATATTATTACTTTCCGCAATGTCAGCTGAATGTATAGTTGAAATCATTCTGACTATTCTTTTTGATTGCCAACATTGTAATAAAATATTTTAGCGGCGACGAAATATAGATTCCTCCCTCGCTAGTTTAGGATTTTTCAAACAACTAGGAAGGCCTCTGTTTACCCGAATAGTGCCGCAAGTCCGAAAACTATTCTGTAAAAGTATTTCACAAGTGGCAACACTATTGTAATAATTGTCCATGTATATGTGATGCCATAAGTTGCAATAAGGTTTAAGCAGATTTAAAATTGTGTCTTGCAAACGACTTCCTACACCACAATACATACGAAAATTACAAATGTATCCCGTTTTAGCTTCACACACCATTCTTATAAGTAAACCATATTTTATAATTTTTGATGCATTATAAACTTTAAATGACAAACGGCCCCTCCATGGCATGATGCTCTCATCCAGTGATAACTCTCTCTCTGGCTTATAAACCTCCTGAAATTTATTTGTGAAGTAAGATAGAATCGGTCGAATTTTTTTCAGACGATCCCTGCCATCTCTATCATCATTATTAGAAAAATGCCACGCATACCATATCAGTCTAAATCTATCCCTGCTCATTATTTCTGCGAAAATTGGAGTTTGGATAGTTTTATCTGTTGACCAATATTCGTCTCTTGTATCTTTACGAACTCGTCCCATTAGGAGAAGAAGTCCAAGCATTTGTTTTAAATCTACCACATTCACATCCTTCCACTTCACAGATTTTGCTCTGTCTCGGAATGCATCTGGGTTTTGTGCGCGATACCGATTGGTTTCCGTTGCCATATATTCAAAAAAGTCATCTGCAATAAATAGCTTAACCACATCTATTACACTTTCTGAATTATGTGGCATTACAAAAACTCCACTTTGTCCTAGAAATTGTTCAATAATTGGTACCTTATCAGTTGTTGACCAATCAAGCACTTCGTCATCACTGTCTTCGGAGTCGCTAGATGATGGTATTGGCAAAACTCGATTTCTTGTAGGGCGAAATAATTCCTCGTCACTTTCACTGTCTGAATCAGGAAATTCCGCGTCACTTGAAATCTGCGACAAGTCATCTGCATATACATCACTATCAGAATCCATTGTGTTTGAATAAAAAAATTTAAATAAATTTATACCGCTTTAAAAACTCTTAGAAAGTATTAGAAAAATACGAGTTGTTTTGAGAATGCAAACTCTACGAACTCTTGTAGCTTTATGGATTTAAACTTAATGAGAAGTACACATACAACATCACATAAAACGAATTTGTGGAGACACGTAGCTGCGAGGAATATTATTGGTTAAAGTACACCTTCTGCTCAAAAAGTATTCGGATTTTGTAAGTAAAACACACAAATTTAAATTTTATTCTAAATTTATTTTATCTTCCTCAAAATATCCTCCTTGTGAAGCGATACACATATGCCAACGCATATGTGCTAATCTTCGGCGAATTCTCTTTTACCGATTCAATCGACTCAAAACGCTTACCACGAAGGGGCAACTTCGGTAACAGGAAAAAGTCGCACGGATCCAGATCTGGCGAATATGGTGCCTGAGCGATGACAGTGGTGCAGTGTTTGGTCAAAAAATCGCGTACAAGAATTTTCCATAGTAAAAATCGCTAAATGCACTTGAGGTAGTCTCACATTAACAACTGCTGTAAACAAACTAATTGACAGATGGCGCTCAAATTTGTATCATATGTCAAGTAAAGGTCTACCAACATAACAAATAATTTTTTGAAAAAGGTTAATTACTTAAGGAGTAATTAACAAACAACAAAATCCGGATACTTTTTGAGCAAAAGGTAGATGGACGAAATTTTTTCTATCTCACTTTACGATCTTTGAGACGTAGTCATATATTTGATACAATATTATTTTTCCCTTGTGTCACTTAAAATTACCTATTTTAAACGGGTACATAAGTACCTGTCCCGCTTATAAGTGACAATCCTCGCAACGGGTACAAATAGCCGCCCCGCTTATAAGTGACAATCGTCGCAACGGGTACAAATACCTGCCCCGCTCATAGTGTGTTAAGTATTAATTAAAGCAAAAAAAAATCATATTTTTAGGATTTTTTTTAAAGTTTAGAGCACATTTATATCGAACAAATGCTTGTCCGATTATGCGATGGAGTCACTGTATATATATTATATACATATACAAATATAAATAAAAATTTAAATATATATGATATGAATATAAATAAAAATATGAATTTAATTATATATATGTACATTAGGGTGCCATTAATTTTCAAAAGTCGGAAAATTGCCCGCGGCACCCCCCAGATCGGTTCATTTTACTAAAAAAATAATCTGTTTGAAATTTTAGTTCAATTGGATAAGTGGAAATGGTGTCGCTTCCTCCACTGTGTCGACGCTATCCAGCATGTCATCTACATAATGCCTTTGTAAAATATATTTCACTGCTCGCGGAAACTCGGTTTCGTATTCGCGTGCATTGCTATTTTTTACTAGTTGTGCCAACGATGGTGAACATGTTGCCCCAAAACTCATAACTTGTAGCACATAAACGTCTGGGGGTCTACTATCGTCACAATTTCTCCGGAAGCGTTGCGAATGTTGATCTTCTTCTTTCACGAGTACTCGATGAAACATTTCTTTTATGTTGCAACTTATACCAATTTTTCCGATTCTGAAATTAACAAGAACATCTACCAACGAAGTGAGCAGATCTGGACCTTTCTCCAAACACGCGTTTAACGAGACTCCGTCATATTGTGCAGCTGCATCCCACACTAGTTTTCGCTTTTGTGGTTTATTCGGATTACTGACTGTAAACATAGGTAAGTACCACTTACGTGGATAATACCCTTCGGCTTCGTTAGGTTTCAGCTGGCGTAAATAACCTTTCGACTTCATGTCTTCGATGTGATCACACACCCAGCTTTGCAACGTTACATTGGATTGCAGCTTGCGCTCAAAGCACTGAAGTCTACGCAGCGCCATTAAGTAATTATCTGGCATAGTAATATTATTTGATTTCCAAAGCAATCTTGCTACAAAGTATTCACCATCTCGACTTATTTTTGATTGCATACTTTTTTGTTGTTCCAACTCCATATTTTTTAGTTTTTCTCGACTTTCAATGTCGTTTTCATTACTGACAAAATCTTTCACTTAACGCTGCAAACTTAGATCATCATCGCATTCACATATGTGTAAATTTAACGTTTCCCTAATAGTATTAGGTTCGTGCTTAATTATTCCATATATGGTCCACCCGAGTCGAGTTTTTGTTGCAGCTGGCTCATTCTTACCTTCCTCTCTGAACTTCATTGGCATAGCTACCTCTTTATTGCTTAGGCCGATTATCATTCGAGGCCTGACGTTTTAATACGATTCTACTGGTAGTCCCTTTAAATGTTTATACTTATCGGTAAGTTCTGTCATATTTAAAGATTGTTCGGGTAGCTCCAGCTTAGCTACTAAACGCACATTGCACAACGAATACCTTTTACCTTCTTGTATTTTGGAGACTTGCAGGTTGACCAGCTCAGAATCAGGTTCCTTGCGTGCCGTACTATCTGTCCATCGTAAACAAAGATCTTTCGTTTCACCTTTAATCCGCAGTTGTCTTAATACGTCTTTTTCTATTAATGTTGGACCAGATCAGTCATCCAGAAAGGCATAAATGTTGCAGGTAACACCATTTCCATATATTGTTACTGGAACAATTCTGTACAGCGCTTGTGAAGTTAGTTGATGATGAACCGCTAACGTTTCATTTGCCCCACTTGCAGTTGAACTTATTTGTTTATGTAGCAGTGGGTGATGTTTCATGTTGCAATTGTGTATACCGCACTCTCGGGTCTTCTTGCACGTTCGAATTAAGCACGTATTAAGCACGTATTACTTCCTGCTTATCCTAGTTCATATATACAGTTGCCAAATGTTTTAAGTGTTACATTGATATTACGCGATGCAACAGCCCACTGCAATCGCATTTGCTGTGGTAGTTTTTCTACAAGCTCTTGGATAAGCAACGGGTTCACTAAGTGTGAATGTAACTCTGAAGCCTCCATAGTTGCGATCAAATTTTTGACCTCTAAGGTGAACGTAACAATTGTGTCCAGTTTATTCATATTAATGTACACTGCTGGAATTTTGGTAATTAAGTTATTGATTATGTGTTCTGGTCTTCCAAATACCATATGAAGAGTTGACATTATTTCCGGGACTAATGCCGGTATCATGAGCCTACTACTGACATATTCGAGTGCCTTACCCTTAAGGGCAAGTTGCAATCGTAAATATATATATATACATATATATATACATATATATATACATATATATATATAATACCGTCTGGACATACAATATTACTCATGTCACACAAAACACTGTATTAAAATCCATTTTATATCTATATTTTTTGGATTGCCAACTTCAAAAGAGCTCTATGACCTTTGGAAATCAATATACCTCAGTACCATTTTTACATATTTCTGTTGTTTCAGATTTTTATAGAAGATTTTTGGAAAGTGTTATTGATATACTGCTATTCTATTAAAATTAGTTGAAAATGTTCAGGAATTTCAAAACCCGTATAACCCTTTAAAAAAGCACGCGAAGATATTAAAACGAATATATATATCAATCATTTTAAATTTTGATTGTCTTTGAGACGAGACCACATAATATATTTCTATTATTATTTTTAAATTAAATTAATCTGTTTATGATTAAAATCCATTTTATATGTACATTTTTTTTGACAGTAAACTTCAGTTAATTACTTAACTCATAGTAGCTTCATACGTAGAAACGAAGAGTCATTAACATGTCTATTATCTGCTTCCTTTAGATGAATTGGATAATATAATTAAGAATATAAATTTATGACATTTATAAAAAAGATAATTTGGGGCTGAATATATTCTATAAAATTATAATGTAAGAGTAATAATTTATAAGAATAATGCTTCAATAAGATTTATATTTACAGAATCTTTACATTACAATATATTGTGATTGGTACTAATAATTGAATAATTAATGTAATTAAAAAATTAATTACCGAAATTGTTTTGCTTGTGTTTTACAGAGAAGGAAATGTTTTTAAATTAAGAAATAAATTCAATGAAATTATTGTTTTTAACATTTAAATGAATAACAAAATACTGTAATATAAAAATATGTATATAATATATATATAAGTAAATAAAATTATTGATTACGAATTTTTATAATTAATTCAAATCCTCATATGTTTTTATGAACATATTATACTAATTAGGAAAACTATTTGAAAACAACATTTAATATTCATTAATATATATTTCTGAAAATGTTTGATATGTGGAAAATTTCCTATTTTGAGTATTTCACTGACATTTATATTATTATATATAAATACATATGGATATAGACTCACTAATGAAAATATTATATAAAGAGAATGTTGTAATCTAAGCCAATTTCATCTTTAAAATGCTACAAACATTTATAATGACAATATTAACTGTAATTTAAATTACTATGGAATAAGATAACTATCTTTAAAACATTAGTTTTATTTATAAATTTTGTAAAGTTGAAATACAAACAGTGGGAGAATTCAAATAGTTTGTGTGAAAATATTTTTGTTAACTGCAGCATTATTTCTTGATTTTATTATTAAACTCTTAAACTCTTAATTATTATTAATCTATTAATCAGTTCTTTCTCTAATCTTTCTGTGTAATATGAGAACATCTGATGATTTAATTCATATTTTTTATGAAATTAAGATGAGATACTGCTTTCGCATTTAAAACTATTTGAACTGTCCCCTCATGTCATTTATCGTATGTAACACAAATTGTTGTAAAATATTTAAAATTAATATTCAAAATGTAAACAAATATATTTAGCATTAATATTGTAAATAAATGAATGGAAAAATTATGTCATGATTTTTATTTTTGCAATTTTAAAGGGCCAAAATATTAAGTTTAGAGGAAATGTAAGTACCATAGACGAAGAATTGTATTGTTAGCCTATGCTATATATAAAGAATTATGTCACATATAAAAAAAATCTACTTTTATTCAGATTTAGATGTAACTGGTATACTAACTATTAAATCAGCAGCAGGTTTTTGTTAGAAAAACCTTATATGTATGTACTTCAAATTTAGAACTTGAGAATAATTTACAAAATGTAATCCCTTCTATTTGATTTGCCAAAATCGGACCACTATATTCTATAGTTGTCATATACAGAGCAATCGGGTTTGAGTTTTTTCTGTTTTCAATAAAGATATTGAAATGAAATCACATCGAAAACTTCAAATATTAATAACTATCGTAAAATGTAAATGAGAC